TATGGACCACAATGAAGATAAAGCCACTAATAGCATTGGTCTGGAGGCAACAAAATTCTCCAAAACTCTTGTCAAGGACTCAGAGAGAGACATAAACACTACAGTAGCAACTCCAACTTTTCTCTTGCTAGGCTGACCTGGCAGCTAACACCTCCTGAGGCTCTGAAGAACAGAAGTGCTAAGACAAGATCAGAAATAGAAAAAATGCCATTCTAGAACACTCTCTTGTAAGGGTGGTAACCTTGCATGACACATGGGAACTAACTAGAAAATCTCAGCTTGGAAAATGAAAGCACTGGCATGGAAATATTCCTTACTCCAACATGAAGAGGAAACTTTTCCATCTAATTAATAGGTTCACCTGACATGTAAGTACAGTGAGTAATGTTGCTCTACAGAGAAAGCTATACTAGGGATGGCTGGCTTGGCTGAGAGCCTTTGAGACAGCTCAGCTCCTACACAGAGATCTCGCAATTTCATCACATGCAATTCAGCTTACTGGCCTATACAAATCAGGCAGGCATTTCAATGCAGCCATCCTTTTTATATTTTTATTTTTTTACAATTAAAATAAAAGAATATTCAGAACTTCTCCTGTAAAGACCTGAAATATATATAGGCTAATTTTGTCCCACTTCACAAAAAATCTCTAGAGTGTGATGCATTTGCGATATATCAACACTGCAATCTGCATTATATCTAATTTTATAGTTTTAGAATTTATACTTGAACTGTTCACTCTAAAATATCACCAAGCCAGTAATTCTGAGTAATTTCTTTAAAATGTACAATAAAACTGAAGAAACTTTACATGTATAGCAGTGGTGAAGAAATCCTATCTTTATCTGTGAACAGTAGCTCAGGGAAAGTAATTTTGCTTTGGTAGTATTCAGTTCTTTCCCCAACCAGAACCGTAAATTTCTGTTGTAGAAATTCTCAGTGTTGTAGAAATTCTCAAGTCAGAAACCTGGAGAGGCAGCTGATGGTCTACACCATGTGACACTATGCATTTGAACCTCTAAAAACATGTGGAGCCCCAACCAGGATTTGGACCAGCATGACTAGTAGGATACATAAGCAGAACTGAAGCTAACTTTGTAAGAGAAACTTTCAGCAACACTAGCATATCTTCCTATTATCTTCTCTATTCTGAATTTTTTAACACCTCCTACAGCTCTGTCCAGTCCCAAAGAGGTTGTGAAAGCCCCATGTGCTACTCATATCAGGGTAACCCTACTTTCAGGCTTAGTACTCAACATACTATAACTTTGCTTTTTAGCCATTTCTTCCCACTAGTTCCCCTCAGAAAATTCCCTGAAAAATTTTCTCCTTGTGAACTTCCTTCAAGGTTGTTTCTTTTTTACTGATTTAATCTAAATATCAACAACAACAAAAAAACTGAAAAAAAGAAGAAGATGATACCTGAAATCATGGTCAGTGCAGATTAGCATATGAGTATGGGTTCCCCACTTCTGGTGCCATTAGAAAACGTAATTGTGGGGGGAAGCCACAGGAGAGGAAATCTTTCAAGACTTCATTGAAAGCAAATATTTCAAAGAAAATAGTTAGAAATTTTTATTTTATGACTGCAGCTTCATAAGATGCTACTGCAATCAAATGCAGTTTTGCAAATGTTATCAGTTTCAGTGTTAGGAAGCTCATCTTACTTGTTTCCTTCTAAATGAGCAAAAAAAAGGAGCTGCCAACATGCTAGATTGTCGGTCTCTCTAAATCTAACTTAATCCTACTACAAAACACAGAGCACCTTGTTAAAATAGATCCATTAAAATGTGGTTCAAACTTGTTGCTTAGACTTGATGCAAGTGAAGATCTTCTGTAGATAGGCAAGTTTGGACCAAGGCACTGTGAACCTTCAGCCAAGTCCTGATTTTCCCCAAACACAACATTTTCTGTAGGAGTTTGAAGAAAGTTGAAGAAAGTAGCATTTTAAGTAATATCATACACAGCAATAATAGTCAAATTCATCAGTACTATTTAAGAGTAATGAATAATTAAAGGACAGCCTCAGTGTTACTGTGTTTCCGAGCATTTTTTTGTCAGCAGTTCAAAATGACCCTTTTGCACTATGTTCTTGACATATCTTTCACACAAAGTCTCCAAACACCTCATAAACATTAACAAATTATTGCAAGAGCAATAATAATTTCAGCTTCACATTCATAGAACCTAAGTCTCAAAATCTTCCTGAGTATCTGTGGTAGATCTAAAAATGAAATTCAAACTTCTGATCACTTTGAATTAGGCTTTGCTACTGCATCATGCAATCACACAGTATAATTCAGGTTGGAAGAGATCTCAGGAGACCACCTCATCCATCCACCTCCTCAAAGCATTGCTAGCTACTGCTCTGCACCAGGTTGATCACAGCTTCATTCAGCCAAGGCTTGAATACCCCACAGAGGGAGGACACACCACCAATCTGTACAACCTCTTCCAGTCTCTGACCACCTGCACGAGGAACTCATTTTCCTCTTGTCTCTAGTCAGCATCTCCCTTCATGCAACCTGTGGCCATTGCTCTTGTCCCGTTTCTGAGCTCCTCTGAGAAGCATCTGGTTCTGCCTCCCATTCAGCTCCCCTCAGGAAGCAAAGTCTCCATCAAGATCCAACTCAGCCATCTCGTCTCCAGGATGAACAAACCCAGCTCCTCAGCCTCTCCTCCTGTGCCATGACCACCCTGATGGCGCTTATCAGGCTCCTTCCCATTGGTCAGCCTCTCTCATCCTGGTATCCACAGCTGAGCACAGCCACCCCACAAGAAGATCCTCAAAACCAAGTGGGGGGAGAGACCCCTTCCCTGGACCTGCTGGCTGCACCTGTGCCAGCTCAGCCCTGGAGGTGGTTGGTCACCTTTGTTGCCAGGGCGCACTGCTGACCCTGTTTGGTTTGTTGTCCCAACAGCACTCACGGCCTTTTCAGCAGAGGTGCCTTTCTCCAGGCATCAGGAAGATCTCCCAGCCACCTTGACCTTTCAGTGATGAGAGACAGCAGCTTCATGATGAAACTAGTCAGCTCCCTCAGAGGCCTTCAGTATGTCCTGTCTGATCCCATAGACCAGCTTATTTAAACAGACCCTAACTCCATCCTCCCCTACTGTGGCTGCTATCTCTTTTCTCCAAGCTTTGCTTCTAGGATACAACCTAGCAGGTCTGTTGGCAGGCAGATTCTGACAGTAAATCCTGAGGCTTCATGGAGTAGTGCATCCAAACTTTTACTGGTTTTCCTTCTAATTTTTACTGCTGATGCACTTATAATAGCCATTCTTCTTGTTCTGCTCATCCCTCACCAGTTTTGATTCTAGCCGAGCTTTGACCTTCCTCATTCTGCCCATACATGCCTGGACCACACTTCTGTGTTGCTCCTTGGTAGCCTGTCCCCATTTCTCCCTCCAGTCTGCTTTCTTTTTGTATTTAGCTCAGTCAGGGGCTCATCTGTTGTCTCAAGTTTCTATCACCCATTTTTGCCTAATTTATTTGAAATCTTATACTCAGTGGCATAACTTCACTTCAACAGAGCTAGAGTTTTACCACCTTTTGGAAATTATTACTGTCAAATTTGTAATCTTGATCATAACTTTTTGTTTTGTTGTTATCCTCTATTACAAATAGATGTTTCTGCTATAAATTATTTTTTGATCTAATTAAGCTGCATCTAAAAAAACTACAGTTTAATACATTTGTGTCATTTTACAGCAGCAGCCTCCCAAATATGATGAAACAGTACTAATTCACTGTGACAGCAGATATAATCTTAGTCTTACAACACAGAATTTTAGCAACTGAAAAATGTTTTCCAATAATCTTCAACAGTACACAGGAACATACTATTTTCCCTTTTCAGAACTAGAATAGACATATGCAAACTCTGTAAACTTCTTCCTTTCCAACATACCTGTAAAGAGCTGAAGGTTAAAGAGAGCACTATCCAAGAAAGTCCTTCTGGAAAGCATTAACTCACAAGAAAAAGAAAAGAATAAAATTTCATCCATATTTTTAAGATGACACAGGAAACTTTTCATGCCTATTTTCCTAACTCCCTGGACAACACATTCATACTCAAATCCTAAACACTGTTTGCTGTAGTTCGAAGCACTGAAACACAGGAAAACTGGCAAATATGAAAATGATGTGACAGCAAACTTACATTCCTGTTCAGAAATAGCTTTCATTAGGAAAATTTGCACTAATGTCTTGTATACGTTGTTTAAGACGTCTGACTTGGCAGTTACACTTAAGGCTGGACTCAATGATCTTAAAGGTCTTTTCCAACCTAAATGATTCTATGATTCTAAGATGTGAAATATTTTAAAATTGTTATTTTCATATATTAAAAAAAATTGCTTGCAAGTGAAATTGAATGCATGCTAGATCATTCTTCTTTCACAATTCAATTTTAATGAAAACTTGGCATAGGTACTTTACACATCTACATCTATCTCCCACTCTGCTCTGCATTCTTGTTCCAAACACTGGTACACTCAGAATCTATCTTGTCTCTCCTTGAAAAACATTCCTAACAGCATTTTTTCCCAAAATCTCAGGAAATAAATATTTCCAAACACTCCAAGGCTCAAACCCAGGCCCACGCTGGTTTGCTTGCAGTCTGAAGCTGCTTTCATTTCAACAATAAACTGGCCACCTGGTGGTTCCGAACTAACTCTTCCTTTCCCGCTTCTCACAAACTCTTTTGTCCTCTTCCCTAAGAATGACAGTATCTTCCACTCTTCTGTGATGGGAGCTTACACCCAGTTCTGTATTCCTTCAAAACTCCCTCCTCACTTACTCACACGGAATGTCTCTGAGTTCTGGGTAACCAGACTTTCCCAACACCTTCACAAAGCCTATCACTGTGACATTACTTTGTATATCTTGAGATTAAGATCTTTGTCTCTCTGGTTGTCACTTCCCCAAGGCAAAGGCAATGTTTTCCCACAAAGTTCTCCTTAGTGCTGATTGTATCACACAGATAATTTTTAGTTACCTTTCTGTTCAGAGCCACACCATCTTCACAGTCCAGCACTGCACAATCTACATTCAGTGAAGGGATTTTTCGTATCTTTTTTTCATCATCCGCAGGTACATACAGGACAGCTCGTCTGGGAACATACTTGTGAGATGATGCAAAGTGATAACTAAGCTTAGGAACAGCAACTGGCAGAGGAGAATTCACCCTGTAAACGATATTGTTAAAATTAGACTTTTGGCTACAATGCTATAAATATTATTTGACTATATTTTAAAAGTGAAACATTTCTAAGTAGATAGTGGTTATTTTTTGGTTATCTATATTTCCCCCCTTAGGAAGAGTGAAGGTAAGGATATACCTGTATTACAGTTAATTACAGTATAAAACTCTGAAACTACTATGTTCAACAGAAGCTGCAAACATAAACAGTCACAACTGAAGACCTGCCAGGGCTGAGGTTATCCATTCAGCCTTAATTATGCTGGCCATTCTGGGTGCTATGGCAAGCATGAAATACAGAAGGGTGGTGTTTGGCTTTTCTGCTGTCATAGGACTCCGTAGGATGAAAACTGTGCTGGGAACAGATCAGGACTGCTTTAGAGAGGAGGCTGCTATCTGCCACATTTTCTCCAGGAGCTGGACGTCATGCTAGGAATGAAGCAGGGGTGCTGACTAAAACAAATAAGGGCTTGTGAAGTTGATTTTGCAACCTTGGCATTATATCAACAAACATATTTGCATGCAAATTTTAAATAAGCAAAATGGATGGAGGGGGAAATGGGGAAAACAGGAATGAAAACCCCATGTAATGTGGAACTTCACTAATCCTAACATTCTTTCAGAAGCCTTCAGACCTTCAGATCCACAGCACAGACTTCCATTGACAGAGCTTAAAAACCCACCAACATCATCAGCAGGTCGTAGGCTGTGTGCCTTTTAAAATTTATAAACGCTTTGTGCACCACATTCCAGTGGTGTCACATGGCTTGAGCGAGTGACATATGTGGCCCACAGGCATCAGGTTTGTGGTGGTCTCCACCTTGTGCACATAGTGCTGGTGAGGACCCAGGTAACCTACCTCAGGCATGAGCTGGGTTAGTGCACTTGGAGGCACTAGGACTGCTGGGTGAGGCTGCTCTCAAGGGTGGTGGGGAGCTTGCTTTGCTCCACAATTACAAGCACTGAGAAATAAATTGCAGAGGGTGCCACTGTGATTCATGGCCTTCCAAAAAAACTCCTTGCCTGCTCCTGTTTCTCCCCATTTCATGCTGTAACCCCCAGGCCTATTCTGCTACATTAAAAATGAGGACAAAATAATACAATTCGCCTTCATACTCAGCACAAGGCACTTATGCCACAAAATAATCCTACCATATAACACCATTATGCATTATCCTGTATATTATTCGCCACTTTGAATAATGTAAAGTTTTTCTAGCACCATGCTGAACATGTCATTATCACATTATATCAGGGATCTCTGCATTTTCCTATGCCCTTCTTAATAATGCTTTCCAAGTTGCTACACTTGGATGACATGTGGCTACACATGCACGTGGGTTTTCTTCAAAGTGAATGTGACTAAAGCTCTCAAACGCTTGGAAATGAGTTCAGTCAATCTAAATCAGAGCCAAGATGGTATGTCACTGATGGGCTGCTATAATGCTTGCCTTTCTAAGCTGAATCTGTCGAAGAACCCTCTCTTCTCCTGGAGTGTGCACCCTAAAAGCTGAATATAAGCCTTAGGTTAAAAAGATGAAGAAAGTTTTTATCACATTTTATCTCAGTAAACAAAACGGAAAAAGAAAACTATTCCACTATCTCCACTGCTGCGTTTCTGCACATCCTGGTTGAACCGACTTTATGAGCCCACAAAAACCCACTCTTCTTTGTAACATGCCTGGTAATGCTTCCTTCAGCCTAAGAAATGGGGCAGCTTGGCTGTTTAACAGAAATTATTTTATTACAAGTGCAAGTGTTACCCTTGATAAGTTGATAAGTCTTCTTCATCTCTAAGTGCAATAACATCAAGACTCAGGTGGTGGAGGTTTTAACAACACTTGGAGACACGCCATTGACATCCACTGAGTGTCTCCCAAGTACTCTCTTTGCCCCTCTCCCACAAACCACTTCATGTCCCCTGCTTCAGGTTGAAGTGGGGATGGTAAAAAAACTTGTTGTAACTCAAGTGCCTGCTAGTTAAATCCACTTAATCTCATTTTCTTGCAGTAGTACACTTTGGAAGAGCAAGGAGGAGGTGGAAGAGTGGTTTACCTCAAATGGAAAGAGGAGAGTCTTTTTTCAGTGTGACATAGAGGTCAGTAAAGAGGTCTGCTGTCCTTTGCTAAACATATATGAGGGGACAAAAGTGATTAATTTCTATTCGCTTTCTCTGATGGCTTCAATCTTGTGGTTCCCAATGGCACAAAGGAGTCAAAGAGCTCAGCCCATTAATAGTTAACTCCAGACTAGAGCCAAGCAGCCCCTGAAGCACTCTTAATGATTGCCTCTCACCAACCCTCCAACATGCCAGAAACCTGATAGACATGGCTAACACCATAATCTCAGAGCATGCTGAGATGAGATGTATCTCCTGTCACACATGTTTCCCGGGATTTCTTCTGGGCTGTCATCAAGCGAAGGACTGTTTGACCAGCCGGTTTCCCTGTCACTGCTGCTAGCCCCACAAAGGCAGCCCTGCTCTGCATACCACACACAACGGCGTGTAGTATTGTGTAGGTAAAAGCATCAGTACTTGAAGGCCAGATATAGTCAGGTGTCACTACTGAGGTCTGTGAACTTGTGTTTAGATGGAACAGTACAGCTTCCAAAGCAGACCACCTGACTCCAAAGAAGTGATAGATTTAATCCATTGAAATACCATCAGTTAATAGGCTCAATGTTAGAAAAACCACTGCCTGCTGACTATTGGTATCTCCTCCTAAGCTAACCAACTTTGTAGCCATGTAGGCTCAAAACACAGGTTTCTCAGGACAAAAATTATTATAAGAAATATACTGTCAATATGTCAAATTATTAGTCTTATGGGACATTTTAGCAAGTTGAAGAAGCAACAACTTTTTCAAGAGGTACGGCCAGAAAAAAAAAATATACAGGAAGAATTGGTGTCAGTGGACCAGCACAGAATCCTTCTCCTTTCAAAACAAAGAGCTCTAGAAATGTTTGTGTAAAAAAGGAGTTTTCAACAATTATGCTTAGGCATGACTGCAGTAAATGTTTTCACATGCTATTGTTTTGACATATATTTTTAAATCATTACTGTGCATTTTCCTTGCAGAGTCGTATTTTATGTTCTACAATAAAATGAAAAGTAGAGGAAGACATGGATTTATTAAGAAATCCATCTGCCTATAGACCTTTTTAAAGCAGTGGCAAGGCCTGGGGTGCTCTATATATGAGCAGTTAGCTACTCTGGTAGGAAACATTATCCTGATTATCTTGACTTCTGTTCTTTTGATAGAATTAAAAACTCCCCAGCAGTTACTTTTTTAGGACAAAAAACCCACACAGCACTGTGATCTCGATTATATTGTTAACCCTGTGCCATAAAGCGGAAGAAAATCTTACATATGTTTCCTGACTCCAAGTATTTTAATGATTCAAACTAAGCTTGACTATGGTTTAAACTAAACACATGGACAAAAGCCAAGTGAATTTGCTAAGACAATGTTTCTTCCTTTAAGCACTCTGAGTTAAAGTAAGGACTAGGCTATTGGGTAATGCTCATTAAATTGTTTTACAGCAGCATATTTTCATTCATAGCATTTAACAGCATGCTGAATGCTCTTGGGTCTTGGAAATAAAACTAGATTTCTTCAGCAAACATAACACTCTACTAAAGTCTTCATCAAATATGTAAAAGTAGCTGGCAAGTTAAAGTTACTCATGGTCCTCTGAGAACTGTTTCACCCAAGAGTGAATAGTTCATCCTTGGGAAGGAGAAAAGAAAACCTTTTTGATTACTAAGAGACATTGCATTTTGCAATGGCAGCCGTACACTGTGACTGCAGCCAGTGAAATTACTCCCAATTATGCAAATTTCCCTGCTATAAACTGCATTTTCACATTCCAGTGTTGCTCATACTCACACATATACTTAACTGCACACACCTGTGCGGTCTCATTGGAGCCAACAACATATAGCTCATGAAGTAAAGTACTCCCACAAGTGATATTCAGCACTTTAACCTGTTCCTCTGTTCCCTGTTTATTTGCTAAATCAAATTACCTCTGGAAGAGATGCTACATTGGGAACTGCCTAAAACATTGCTCAAAAGGCCAAATCTCTTCTTCTACAATCTTCGGCACAGTGTTGGCCAAGTGTTTCTGAAGCGCATTTTTAGGCATTTGATTAAAACCATTAAAAAAGCTGGATAATTGCCACAACATGTATTTCTGATATCTATGCATGAGTCTACGATCTCCATGCATACCAGTCACAATCCTGGATGTCTGTGGTGCTGTGGGAGAAGGACAGAAGTGACCCAAGACCCACAATGCCTCCTGAACAAGACCCAGCTAACGCAGTAAAAATCTACAAATTGTTTCTCTGATATGTGCAAAAAACCACCCCACTCCAGAGTAAATATAATGGTTTTCATATGTTGAAGTCACTAGGCAGTAGCACACAACCACACACAAATAATCTGCCAAAGACAAAGAAACTTCTATGGAATTACTCAGACCCGCAATTTGCATAGTAATTCTTTCTAATTAAGAAAAGAAGATACAAGTTGNTAAACATCAGCAGGCCCTGTGCAAATACGAAGGGCTCACAGCCGAGCTGAGTAGTTGTCGAATCAAAGCGACTCGCCGGAGAGTTTTATTGGTACAGCTGCGGCGCATGCATTTTATCACACATGCTAATAATCCTGGTTATGGCACTAACATTTTAATCATTTGTTCTCTGGGCTTGTTTCTCAAACAATTAGCACTAATGAATGGCCAAAATACCTCGGATCATATATGTCTAATTGCAGTCAAGAGCGGTTATTGTCCGCATGTACATTTCAATTCACCTCTGGGGATAATGTTTGTTAATTGTATTTCTTTATATAGCAAGTGAAAAAAAGCTGTTCACTCAAAAAGGGACTAAGTGTTCTCTTCTTTCCCTTTGTTCCCACAAGAAGCTAAAGTCACTTCAAGAGGCACTTAATCCCATCATCCATGGTTACAATTGCCTTA